CATTTCAGGACAGCCTCCAAAGCCACAGAGAAACCCTGTCTTGGAAAACCAAAATAAAAAAATAAAAAAGATACCCTGTCTCAAAAAAAAAAAAAAAGGAAGGAAGAAAACAGAAACACACAGAAAATAAATATCCAAATAATTATATAAAGTCCCAAACAAATGGCAAATGTAAGATTCTAACAATATCTGAAAGCAAATGAAATGTTCCAGGAAGACATTGTGGCCATTACAAATCACTAGGCCTCAGCCATTTGGAATTTTCAATAATTCCTATCAACTGACCATTAAAATTGTTACGCAAGGGACAAAGTTATGCTATCACTGTGCAGCAATGACAAGCCCACAGACTCATTGGAAACAAGGAAAGTACATGAGCAAATCACCTAGCCTTCCTTCATTTTTACTCTGAAATCAATCTTTCTATCCCATCCCTAGAAAAACAGAGTTCCTTAGTAAAATTCCCCAAAGTGCCAAAAACAGGCACTTTTCTTTGATCTAATAAGCTTCCTGGTATAACTATCACTATCACTTAGATATATGCACATTAAATAATCCTACAATTGGTTTTTAAATCAAAAACTGTATCCTCAGGACTTACCAGATAGCAACATATGTCCTTCAAAAACACTAGCAGGTGGAACTCTAGGCTTACAATTTTTCACAGCTTCAGCAATTTCCCTAAGTTAAAAGAGAAAACACTATATTCATTAATTCAGAGTAACATAAATTTAATTAAGCTAATTTCCAACTATGTAATTGTCTGCATCAATGCACCCATGCACATTATGATATGCCTACTTAAATGAACAGCAGCAGTTACACCCTTCAGTTTCCTCAGCCACAGAATGCTCATCAATGCTGGCTCTGCTGTTTCTGCTGTCACAGCCTGGAGCTGCTGTGTGAGTCTGCACAAATACAAACTGCAAAACTCCTTTCCTTCCCTCAGCCCACAGACGCCTTTACAAACCCACAAACAAAACATGTCCTTGCTACCTAATCAACAGTTTAGCAACTTCAAAAAGAAGTCTGTAGCTCTAAGAAATAAGAGTAAATGGGGGGTGGGGCTGCTGGCAATGGGGAGAGGATGGTCCTGTGTATTCAACAGGGACAGGACAGAGAAAAAACAATTGCTTCTCAAAGTTATCCACAGTCTCTTTAACATTGTCAAGTTTAATGAATCACGTGTTTGATAAACCATAAAAATCTAGCTTTCTCTATTTATCAAGACCTGTAGGTACTGCTCACCCTGCTGTCCCAGCAGGGGTTATACAGATAGGTATAGATAGCAACATACAAATACACAAGTTAAAACAACTTATCTTTCTAAAGAGGAAGGGAACTAAAAAATGAAGAATCAGTCTGTGATCCAAAGATAAGATACTTCAACTACTGGTAAAGATGTAACATAAAAAAAAAGTATAAAAAAATAGGGATGTAGGTATAGTTCTCTAGAGTAGATGCTGAGTATATACAAAACTCTATTAAATAGGTAATAACTTTATAGTTATTAAGAGTCTATCACAACAGACTTAATAGACTTCCTAGACAAGGCCTTACTGTCTCCGAGGAGCAGATGGGAGGAGGGTAAGAGTGGGGAGAGTGGGGAGAGGATGGAGCAGGAACTGAGATTGGAATGTTTAAAAAGAAAAAGGTATATATAAATGGTCACAGGAAAAAAAAAAGTCTATCACAGAAGCCAGATGTGAAGGTGCATACCTTTAAGCCCAGCCCTCAGAAAGCAGAGACAGGCAGACCTCTGTGAGTTCCAGGCCAGCCTAGTTTACACAGGAAGTTCCAGCCAAAACTTCTGTCAGAGAAGCTAAGAAAACAGGAAAAAAAAACAAAACAAAACAAAACAAAAACTTATGGGTAACTCAGCTAAAGAAATACATTATGTGCACATACGTGGAACAGTAAGGACAGGCTGAAAACACAATCACTGCTGACTCTAGGGAAAATGGCAGTGTCCTAACCTAAATCCTCTGACTGAATTCCAATCTCACTGAGAGCCACCAATTATAAAGATAAACATATCCATAATCAGCACTGTCAGTTTTCACTCCTTCTTTCACACTGGCCCTTGAAAGCATGAGCGAGCAATGATGCACAGGACCAAGGAGGATATTCCTCTAGACCATAAGATGCTAATCACCCTACTGTTTTTTTCTCTGTAGCACAGAATCTAATGGAGGCATGTGTTGCACCCAAGAACACTTAGCTGTCCTTCTGAGAGCATTTAAATCATTATTTCCTGGTAGAGTCTTACATGGAATTTACAATATTCCAGGGGGAGAAGTTCAGGTTCAGACAAACTAACACTGGTAAAACTGAAAGTTATACAGCTAGGTGATAGGCATATGACAGCTGACTGTAATTTTTCTGTACTACTTTGACTTTCAGAATGTTTAATATAAAGCTACTTTTACTTGTATTTTTCATAATATGGAGCAATATGACTGCCATAGTAATGTGACTTAAACAAAGAAACTGATTTTCTCATATCTGGTAAACAATCTGTGACTGAGGTGCTGCTGATGTTTCTCCCTGCAGCTTGCAGACTGCTGACTTCTTGTGTCTTTTTATACAACCTTCCCTGTACCTGTTCATTTGTACTTTGTTCCTACATGGACACTGACTGCAAAGGATTATGTGTAGATCCACTTGTTCCTGTAACTGCCACCTTTTAAAGGCCCACCTCCAAACACAGTCACATTCTAAGTACCGAAGGTTAAGACTTCAACATACTACCTTGTGGGTAGAACAATTTAGCTGATAAGCACAGGAAATATTAAGTTGGACAAAGAGGCTCACACTTGCATTCTCAATACTCAGGAAGCTCAAGCAGGAGGTGTCAAGAGTTCAAGGCCTTCTATGCCAGTCCAAGCTATAGAATACAGGATTCTGGGACAATCAGAGCTATACAGTGAGACCCTGTCTTGAGAAGAGAAAAGAGGGCAAAGGGGCTATCAAAATGGCTCAAATGTCAGCACTCACAAATCTGGGTAGTTCACAAATACCTGTAACCCTACCTGCAAGAAATCCAATATTCTTTCTAACTGTTGTAGGCACCTGGAAACATACACACACACACACACACACACACACACACACACACACACACACACACCAAAAATACACAGATGTCACGTACACACATGTACAAAGAAAGACAAAGGCAATGCATGCACGCACACACGCATGCACAAAATAAAAGGCCAGATATGGTGGTCTATGCTATAATCCCAGACTTGGGAGGCTGAGTCAGGAAGACTGCCACAGGTTCAAGGCCAGACTGGGCTACATATACACATTGAGTACCAGGCTTGTATGAGCTACATAGCAAGAAAGACCTACCTCAAAGGCACATGAAGAAGAGGACTGGGAAGTAAATATGATCAAAATAATTATGTATATGTGTGTAATTCTCCAAAAATTAATAAAAATATCATTTAAAATTATCAATAAATAAAACCAAACAGATTTTAAAGAAAGAAAAAAGAGATAACCATTACCTGATGTGATCGGGTGTGGAACCACAGCAGCCACCAACTATATTCACCAAGCCATCCATAGCAAAGTCCTGTACTTAGGGAAAGTGAATTCATCTGAATTCTAAATTCACCAAAACAAGCTCAGCAGAAGAGCATTTACTTTGTATATTTTCTGAATAACTAAGATTATACTAAAGAGAAATAAACATATTTACTTTAGATTAAAAAATGCCACAAGCCCTAGGTAAAAGATACACATGAACATAGTTGAGATACTATGAAACCTTTTATGCTATCTGAAACACAGTAGAAATTTTATTTGCCTAGCTGATGAAATGAAACAATTTTTTACCCATATGACCAGAATGAGTATGAAATGGATAACACATTTTTAAGTAACATATGAGATTCAGTTTTTCAATTTAATTAAACTTTTTAAAATAAAAAGTGAAAGTCCTATCACATTAGCCATGTTTCAAGTGTTCCATCAAACACATGGGTAAGGCACCACACTGGTCAGTAGGGTCTGGAACAACCAGAGGCTAGTGAGTGAAAAATGAGATGAAGTAAAGAGACTGAGAAAGCAGAACACCAAGACTATCTATCTACTTAAGATAATTCAAATTATAATCTCAGCACTCAGGAGACTGAGGCAGAGAATCATGAGCTCAAAAAGAGTCTGGATCGTAGCAAAATTCTATCTCAATGGAAACAAACAAACAAACAAAAAATTGATACTGAAATCATAGAACTGACTCAGAAACGTTGGAGAGAAAGCATCAGTAAGCCAGAAGCTGAAAACTCAAAACCTGAAGACAAATGGAAGCATCATTGGCTGCACTAAGCAATAGCAGTGGTAACAGTCTCATGATTCAAAGATGGCAAGTACAATTAAGAGAGATAGCTAAGTGCACATCCAGTCCACCCACCCAGCAGTCTGAAGTTAATGATAGGGGAAGTCATTATTTGATAGTGTTGAAGAAGGGACATTGTAGAGACCCACGCCTCATTTAATAAGAAGGACCTCACTGGGAATTTTCCAACAGCTACCACTGTCAATAGATAGGTAAGCAGACAGCAGCTCTGCCTAATGCTTCCAATACTCAGAGCACTTAAACTTTACCTTGTCATTTATATACTAGATTTTGAGGGAAAATTATGTTAAATCCAAATACCATCTTCCATCATGCATGGTGGCACATGCCTCTATAAACCCAACTATTCTGGAGGCTGAGGAAGAGCAGCTTAGGTAAGACAGACTGGACCTCAAAGTTAATTAATTAAAATAACATTGTATCTGTCTCTTCAAAACTGAAATGAATGGCTGGGAGGTGGTGGCACACGCCTTTAATCCCAGCACTCTCGGGAGGCAGAGGCAAGTGGATCTCTGTGAGTTCGAGGCCAGCCTGGTCTCCAGAGTAAGTGCCAGGATAGGCTCCAAAGCTACACAGAGAAACCCTGTCTCGAAAAACCAAAACAAAAACAAAAAACTGAAATGGATCCCTGACCTTTAGGTGATTGGCCATCATGGATGGTGTTTCATCATAGTCACCAAAAGTATTGGGAAGACCTGAGAAAGAACATATCAATCATTATTCAAAAGTACCTTAACAAATATCTAAGTGCTTTAAAATTTATACAATTCTGCATTGATGCTCAAATTATAACTGCTTATAAAGTGAATAATAATATAGTATTAATATAACAGATAGCATAACAACAAGAACAAAATCTGAAGAACACTCACTTTCTTTTACATATTAATCAGAAAGTTCATTCCCACTTGGAACATAGTATTCCAATCTCCACCTCCAAGTCCCTTACTGTAAGATAAACTCATTCTTCTTACAAAACTGCTTGTGTGGAAGCCACCCTGTATATACTCCCACAGCCTCTGAACTAATGAACATCTGACATGCAATGAGACCAAACACGATAAACCAGCCTTCTTTAAATTAGTTAAATACGTCTACTGTATTTCAGATAGCATCAAAAGTTTCATTGTATCTGAACTATTTACCACACATACCTTTTACCTAGGGCTTGTGACATTTTTGTTACTAAAGTAAATGTTTAGTTTATCTCTCTTTAGTATTACCTGATAGTTTATCCTCTGATTATCTAATTTCCTCTTGGATTCATGCCCTGCCCCTAATTACTAGAGGGAAATAAAATATATTGTGCATTTTCTAAGATTTATTTATGAATATGTCTATTTTGCTCAAATTTATGTTATACACCACCTGTAGGCCTGGTGCCCACAGGGGTCAGAAGAGGGTGTCAGATCCCCTAGAACTGGAGTTATGGATAGTTGTGACCCAACATGTGGGTGCTAGAGTATTAAAAACAGATCCTTGGCAAGAACAAGTGCTCTCAACCCCTGAACCATCTCTGCAGATCCTTTTTATGCATTTTTAAATGTGTACACTTGAAACTGGTGAGGTGTCTCAGCAAATAAAAACATTTGCGGCACAAGCCTGATGCCCTGAGTGCAAGTCTCAAAACCCACAGTAGAAGAAGAGAACCAATTCCCAAAAGTTATCCTCTACCCTCCATGTGCACGCTGTGACACACATGCAATTGCACCCACATATATAGATTACACACATATTAATAAAATTTTCAGTTCTTTAATGTATACATTTGGACAAAAATGTACAGAAAATGATTTTTAGCCCTAAGTAGCTGAATAGTACTGGGAAACCTGGCAAGCTCAGAGCAAATCATCAAATACCTTTGAAATGTTTAGGTGCCATCAACTAGAAATCTTAGCTTTTAGAACATAACACATAATACTACCCACAATGCTTTTCTACTAATTAACGAAACAGGGAAAGGATCCCTCTTATTTTGGCATTTCTCTGGCTATATTCACATGACAAAACTCTTGTTAATGACATAACTAGACTCTTTGCCTGAAGCTATGCCCTATTTTGAAACTGCAAGCTGGGCAAAACTGTCCTTTCAGGTTTAAGGGGAAGCACTAGTATAAAACCAAATAGTTTTTTTTGGGGGGAGAGGGGGGCAAAATTCTTGTTGATTCTCAAACACACACACTTGAGCCTCCCTCCCTTCCTCCTTCCCTTATATGTACACACACACACACACACACACACACACATCCCTACAACACAAACTCTCCAAATCAAGACGTTACCCCATTTACCATGACTTGAGTATATTCATTTCTTCATGTGCACTGCCCTCATCCCCCTTAAACCCACCTGCATTTGGGTAACAGAGGACATAGGCTGTTGTACATTTTCCAATTGTTTCAATGAAAGGCCTCATTTCAGCTGCACCCAGGGCACAATTTAATCCAATGCTGGAAAAACAGTAAACAGATGTCAGTAGCATCATCTTTCATTCAAGATGTGTATGCATAAAAGTTATTATAATGAGATGAATATAAACAGAAATCCAGGATTTCTGGTGAATAAGCTATTCTGTATGATGTTAAAATAGCAGATATGTGTCAATGCATATTTGAAGATCCACAGAATGCACAAAAGTGAGCTCTAATGTAGACTAGTATTCAGCTAATAATGCATTAATGCCCTACAATACCAAGGCGAGATGTTAACAGGGAAAACTGGTAGAAGTGTGAACAGGGAGGGAGTATACAAAACTCTGCTTTCTGGATTTTTGTGGTTGTTGCTGTTTTAAGTAAACCTTTACCTGATCTAAAGCAAACATGATTCTCTCATCACTGATTTTCAACCGATCCTCACATTTCCCATAAGACCACTAAGTCCAAGTCCCCGCACAACAATAGATGTCTGTGATCCCAGCACATAGGAGGGAGAGTCAGGAGGCCTCCTCAGTGCCACAGCAAGTCTGAGCCTAGCCTGAGCTTCAGGAGATGCTGACTCAAAAACAACACATCAAAAGGGGACTGCAAGGTCCAATGCATGGTTAACTTACAAATGAACAGACCGTTTCAGTTTAGCCATTTTACTAGTACATTGGGTAACTTTCATCATAGGCAGCCGTGATACTATGGGTAAGAATGGCTACCCAAGGCTCACTGTTTCAAGTGGTGAAACTGGGAAAGTATAGGTCTGGTCTTGTTGGAAGAGGAGTGTCGCTGGAGGAAGACTTCAAGGTTTCTTAAGACTTTCATCATTCCCTTCCTAGAGGTTGTCTCATGATGGGAGCTCTCAGCTACTGCTCCAGCACCATGCCTACCTGCTGCCATGCTCTCTACCTGATGGTCATGAACTCTAACCCTCTAAGACTGTACCCCCTAAATTAAACACTTTCTTTTATAATTTGTCTGGGTCATGGTATTATATCATAGCAACAGAAAAGTAATCAAGACAGTCACTGTAAATCATTGTGTTTGAATGTTTTCCAAACTTAGTTCCAATACTAATTTGACTTTTCCACAGTTGACATTACCTAGCTAAGCAGTCTTCAACCACAAGTACCTAGAAATAAACAGCAAGTAATGCCCACTCGGTTCTTAGGGTTCTAATAAAGTTCAAATGAAACACCACATATTGACACTCTTTATCAACTATCCAGTTCTCCTAGTGGCATTAAGTCACTCTGCTTAGCAAACTCTGACTCAAGCCTTCCAACATAGTTCATATGTTACCATGTCTAAAGAGCCATCTCTGAAACCTACAAGGACTCACCACTGCATACAGCCAGATTTCCTTCATTGTTTCTGTACAGCACCATCTGTACTACCATTTGTACTTGGGGAGAGGGAAAACAAGGGAGGCATGCCCATCTGGAAGTGCGAGGACAACTTTCAGGAGGGACCCAACCTACCGTGTGGGTCCCGGTGATCAAATCCGATCACCAGCCTTAGCAGCTCTTAGCACCTTTGCCTGGTGAGCCATGTTTTACATTCTTATTTAGTGAAGTGGTTCTCCTTAATGTGGACCACTTCACTTGGCCACTATTCCAGGGCACATAGCCAGATTTCAATAAATGATAAATTAATATTAACACGGGATTCTACTGTTCTTTGTTAACAAAGAGTTTATGATAACAGTCAATCATTAAGCAATAGTTTCTCATAAATTAACCTTTTTCTCATGACTGCTAACTTCTAATACCCTTCCATTCTTAAAAGATGAAAACCTGACCTTTAACATTCCTACTTTATTTTACTCCAGAATGCTTCTGCATGTCCCACAAATTGGGAAGGACACTGCTTTAACACTTGCAACCACTGCTGTGAAAAACGTAAATTGACTGTTACTAGCCTAAAGAAAGGCCCAGCCTAGCAGTCTTAAACTATAAGCAGACTCACAGGCAAACACTTGACTGCCAAGAAGGTCTGAAAACTCTCCTGATATCAACATGGCCCATTCGTTTCAGTGGCCTTGAAGCCCTTAAAGTCTGAAAGACTAGAGAAATCCAGTGCACCATGGAAATGTCACAGTGGAAACACAAAAGCAAGGCCCTTTAAGGCGATGTTATACCATCCCCAATAAAAAGTACCCCAAAAGAGTCACTCACCACAACGGGTCTGAATGAGACACGCTTATGACAAATGCCTCTCCTGTTTGGCCAGAAAGAGTCCGTCCACTTTTATCAACAATGGTCCCAGAAATCTGAAGTAACAATATTAACAGACCAACAATATAGAATCTGGTAAAGAATATGGTCACAAAGACAAAGAGAAACCAACAAGTGGAAGTTCTTCATTCTTTCATGAGGAAGAGAACTGGCACAATGGATATATGCCAAGTGATTGGGGAAGACACACTCAAGAAAACCCCAAGCAGCCTTAGATGTCACACGCCCATGCCCATCCCTCCTCAAGCCCTAATACCTGGTGTCTTTAACCCTTTGACCTCTTTTGAACAGCCTGTGCTCTATCAATCACTTCTAGGGTCCTTTTCCTTATCTCTCCAGAGGTAAGCAGTTAATGATAGGAGGGAGTTGAACAGAAGGGTACTTTCTGAAAGGTATGCTACTTTTTTTTTTTTTTTTTTTTTTTTTTTTTTTTTTTTTTTTGGTTTTTCGAGACAGGGTTTCTCTGTGTAGCTTTGGAGCCTATCCTGGCACTCGCTCTGGAGACCAGGCTGGCCTCGAACTCACAGAGATCCGCCTGCCTCTGCCTCCCGAGTGCTGGGTTTAAAGGCGTGCGCCACCAACGCCCGTCGATATGCTACTATTCAAAGGAGGGAAACATCCTACACAAAAACCCTAATTGTAAAGGAATTTTTTTAAAGAGGGAGAGGGTTCTCAAGCACATATTTAAGAACTTACAAAGATAGGCCGGGGAGGAGCATACTTCTCTTCAAAGAGTTTCTGGAGTGCAAACAAGGCTGCCTGTCAAAAAAACAAGAATACCTTTATTTCTGAGAAAGGTCCAAGGTCAATCTAACTGCCTGATCAGCACATACCTTTCTCCAGACCTCTTCAGACAGGATACACCGCAAGCTGAGGACAGGAAATCTTCCCTTAGTGCCTAACAAACACTGTTCTTGTGTAACATTGTACATGCTAATGAATACTCAGGAAAGGAAATCTAAAGTGTAACATATAACACAGTGCATGCTAACCAATGCTCAGGTAAGGCAAACTCAAGAGTAACACTGTACATGATAATTATTGTTCAGATAAGGAAATCTCAAGGGTACACTGTACATGCTAAACAATGCTCAGATAAGACATTTGCAATGGGCCACTGTACTTGCTAATAAAGGCTCAGGTATGAGAATCTCAATTATAACACTGTACACGATAAAGAATGCTCAGGTAAGTGAATAACAAGAATAACACTATACATGCTAAACAATGCTTAGGTAAGGGAATTCCAAGTATAGCAATGTACACATTAACAAATGAACAGGTAAGGTAATCACAAGTATAACACTATACATGCAATGCTTATGGTAGGGAATTTCAAGAGTAACACTGTACATACTAACCAATGTTCAAGTAAGGGAATCTCAAGTGTAATACTGTACATGTTAAGCAATGCTCAGGTAAAAAAAAAAATCTCCAGTGTAACACTGTAATGCTAACCAATGCTCAAGTCAGGGAATCTCAAGTGTAAAACAGGACACACTAAAAAATGTTCAGTTAAGGGTATCTCAAGTGTAACACTGTACGTGCTAACCAATGCCCAGGTAAGGGAATCTCACATTTTACACTGTACTCAGGAACCAATGCTAAGAAAAGAAATCTCAAGTGTAACACCGTACATGCTAACCAAGGCTCAGGTAAGGGAATCTCAAATGTAACACTGTACACGATAAACAATGCTCAGGTAAGAAAATCTCAATTATAACACTGTACATGCTAAGAGCACTCAGGTAAGAGATTCACAATGTAACACTGTATATGCTACCTAGAGCTCATGTAAGGAAATCTCAAGTGTAACACTGTACATGCTATCAAATGATCAGGAAAGGCAACCTCATTGTAACATTGTACACCCAAACCAAGATCTGGTAAAGGAATCTCAAATGTAACACTGTATACAATAAACAATGCTCAGGTAAGAGAATCTCAAGTGTAACACTGTACATGTACCCAATGCTCAGGTAACTGAATCACAAATGTAATACTGGACAAGCTAACCAACAGCCAGGTATGGTAATATCAAGTATAACACTGTACATGCTAACCAATGCTCAGGTAAAGGAATCTCAAGTATAACACTGTACATGCTAACCAATGCTCAGGTAAAGGAATCTCAAGTATAACACTGTACATGCTAACCAATGCTCAGGTAAAGGAATCTCAAGTATAACACTGTACATGCTAACCAATGCTCAGGTAAGGGATTTTCAAGTGTAACACTGTACACGCTATCCAATTCTCAAGTAACTGAATCACAAATGTAACACTAGACAAGTTAACCAACAGCCAGGTATGGTAATATCAAGTATAACACTGTACACACTTATCAATGCTCAGGTAAGTAAATCTCAAGTTAACACCGCACATGTTAACCAATGCTCAGGTAAGGAAATACCAAGTGTAACACTGTACATGCTAACCAATGCTCAGGTAAGGAAATGTCAAGTGTAATACTGTACACGCTAATGGATGTTCATAAAATACTAACCATTAATGGGGGATGTCCTTCTGTATGCTGTGATTGCATGTTTCTCTTATAGGTAGATGAATAAAGCTGTTTCAGCCAATGGACAGGCATGATGTAGCCAGGGAGGAAGTATAGGCGGGGTTACCAGACTAGGAGGATTCTGGGAAGAGGAATGCAGAGTGAGTTAAGAAGAGACGCCATGTAGCTACCAGGAAGGTAGGATGCCTGGGCATTCTCCAGTAAGCCAAGACCATGAAGAGATACATAGATTAACAGAAATGGGTTAATAAAAGAGAGCTAGTCAATAAGAAGCTTGAGCAATAAGCCAAACAGTTTATAATTAATATAAGCCTCTGTGTTTATTTGGGACTGAACAACTTCGAGAATGGACAGAATAGAAACTTGTCCACAAATGGAGCCCAAGCGTTTGGCAAGAATTTCCACATAAAACCTGACAAAAGCTTTAAAAGGGTTCTGAACACACAGAAACAAAGCCAAAATGGGGCTTCTAGTCTCACAGTCTCATGAAGGCCACAGTGCAGAGATGCTGTGGCATTCGGGCTTGAGCACAGCATGGTGGATTCCTGCCACAGTATAAAGAGGCAGTCTCCAAGCCACACAGGCTTTTACTTATACAGACAAAAAAGGTTTATGGTCAGTATGCTACAAGCTGCTTGATGGTAGCATACACCAAAGTTGAGGAGGTGAGCACAGCTCCCAAAGCTGGCAGTAAACACACCCCTGCCAAGATGGAAAGCCTAACTGGTTGGTGCCAGCAGCCAAAACTGCCACTTTAATCCTAGCTGCTGTTTAGCAGGTTAAAGACTGATGTGGTCAGAAAAAGATATATACAGTAAACACTGATTAAGATAAAAAGAAAAAAACCTAAATGTTTTACAGTGTGTTTAAAAATATACATAGGCTTGGAGGGAAAAGAAAAAGGATAGAGAAAATCCTTTAAAAAGAAAGGAGTAGCTATCTGGGTATGGTGGCACATGCCTTTAATTCCAGCACTTGGGAGGCAGAAGCAGGCGGATTCCTGTTATTTCAAGGAGAGCATGGTCTATAGAGTGAGTTCCAGGACAGCCAAAGATACACAGAGAAACCCTATCTCAAAATAAATAAATAAATAAATAAATAAATAAAACTAAAAGAAAGAGAGTAATAAAAAAAAGCCATGTAAAGATGAAAAGAGACAGAGAGTCTGGATAATGTATGTTATTGTGTTATCTTTAAATTGTTTGATTCCTGATGAATGAGCAACAGTTGCTAAAAGTCATTTGATTATAAATGCTACTGGATTAATCCAAACTATATATTTTGAAAATACCTCGGCTTAAAATTTAACTCTAAGGACATGTTATTTTGGAAAAGAGGTTTTGCTTTTGTTTCAACAAAAAATGAAAAGCTGCAGATTCCTTCCAGAAAAATATGGTTTGGTCAAGCAAGAACCCCTGAAGTAATAGCCCAGGTGATCCAATCCAAAACAGCTAAGACGATGTAGCCTCACAGACCACTAAAGCTACTAGGGTTTGGCCAGGGATCTGGGTTTTCTCAGGATCCCCTGAAATTGACAGCACCCCCAAACAACAGGAAGCAGTTTGGAGAGAATTATACCCAAATTCCCAAATATTCTTTATAAATGTTTGCTTTCATTTAAAGGGGTTGGTTATAGATGGCTAACAACCACAGTCGATCTCTTAAAGAAAAAAGGGAATATGATACAGAAATGAATACTTTGCATTATATGACTTTAGGTTTATTGATACAAATTTAAGGTCAGTTTTGTTATATGTACATTTCTACTCTTGTTTAGATATTGTGTTTATACAGCTCATTTAAAAAATGTATAATTAAAGATTATAGTCACCTGCAATAGTAAAAACTTACATTAGTTAGGTTTTCTAGATATACAGAGATATATTTCAAATGGATAGGTATTCTTCAAAATCTTTGAAAGACCTACAAAATATGGCATTTAAAATGGTTTACTAGGGTTTTTCATGACAATGAGACACAACTGCTCCTGGCAATACCAATTACCTCAGAGAGGAAGATGGGCATACAAGAAACTCATTATGGAGTTTACCTTCAACATGGCAGGGATAGCCATTTGGACAAGAAACTGTTCTTGCCTGGACTGCTTAACAGCCCGCTGTCCAAACTGGACAATCAGGTTAAGAAGAAAAGTGACTGCTAAACTTGCCAAAGGACAGGATGGTCCTTCAAGTTTCCTACTTCATCAAAAGTCTGCCAGGCACTATGGCCTATGGGCTGAAGATGGATGCCCCGAAGTTACAAAGAAACTTTGGATGACTGTCCAGGCAATGAAATGTCTCTGTCAATTCTAGAGTTTATATAATTATCCTTCTGAGGTCTTTGATGTAGTTGAAGATAGATAGTTACAGTTATGATTTTCCTTAGTTATAAAAGGTAAGTTACATATAAAAATTTAGACTCACAAAGATAGGATAGATGATAGAATATTTTCTTTAAATTTTGCCAAATGTTAGTGGACTAAATATTGTTAACTATAGTTCTTGCTTGATAACTGCCTTGTTATATATAATTTTACTATGTTAAAGTTAAAACCTTTTTTATTTACATAGAAAAGAGGAGACGATAGGGGATGTCCTTCTGTGTGCTATGAATATATATTTCTCTTTTTGGTTGATGAATAAAACTGTTTTGGCCAATGGAAAGGCAGGATGCAGCCAGGCAGAGCTACTAGACTAGAAGAAGGCTGGGAAAAGGAACAGAGAGGGTAAGTTGCGGGAGAGATGCCATGTAGCTGCCAAGGAAGAAAGAGGCCCAGGCATAGCCAATAAGCTAAGAACATGTGGAGATACACAAATTAATAGAAATGGGTTAATAATTAAGAGAGAGCTAGCCAATAAGAAGCCTGAGCCATAGGTCAAACAGTTTATAATATAAGCCTCTGTGTGTTTATTTGGGACTGAATGGCTACGGAACTGGGCGGTACAGAAACTTCAGTCTACAAACCATTGCTTAGATAAGGGAATCTCAAGTGTAACACTGGACATGCTAATGGTTGCTCAGGAAAGATATTCCAAAGTATAACACTGTACATGCTAAACAATGTTCAGGTAAAAAAAAAAAAAAATCCAAAGTATAACACTGTACATACTGACCAAAGTTCAGGTAAAGGGAATCTCAAGTGTAACACTATACATGCTAACCAATGCCCATGTATGGTAATATCAAGTGTAACACTGTATACGCTTACCAATGTTCATGTAGGGGAATATCAGTGTAACACTGTACATGCTAAACAATGCTCACATAAGGGTCTCTCAAGTGTAATACTGGACATGCTAACCAATGCTCACTAAGGGACTCTCAAGTGTAACACTGGACAAGCTAAACAATGCTCACATAAGGGACTCTCAAGTGTAACACTGTACATGCTAAACAATGCTCACTAAGGGACTCTCAAGTGTAACACTGGACAAGCTAAACAATGCTCACATAAGGGACTCTCAAGTGTAACACTGTACATGCTAAACAATGCTCACTAAGGGACTCTCAAGTGTAACACTGGACAAGCTAAACAATGCTCACATAAGGGACTCTCAAGTGTAACACTGTACATGCTAAACAATGCTCACTAAGGGACTCTCAAGTGTAACACTGGACATGCTAACCAATGCTCAGGTAAGGGACTCTCAAGTATAATACTGGACATGCTAACCAATGCTCACTAAGGGACTCTTAAATGTAACACTGGACAAGCTAAACAATGCTCACATAAGGGACTCTCAAGTGTAACACTGGACATGCTAATGGTTGCTCAGGAAAGATATTCCAAAGTATAACACTGTACATGCTAAACAATGTTCAGGTAAAAAAAAAAAAAAATCCAAAGTATAACACTGTACATACTGACCAAAGTTCAGGTAAAGGGAATCTCAAGTGTAACACTATACATGCTAACCAATGCCCATGTATGGTAATATCAAGTGTAACACTGTATACGCTTACCAATGTTCATGTAGGGGAATCTCAAGTGTAACACTGGACATGCTAACCAATGCTCAGGTAAGGGACTCTCAAGTATAATACTGGACATGCTAACCAATGCTCACTAAGGGACTCTTAAATGTAACACTGGACAAGCTAAACAATGCTCACATAAGGGACTCTCAAGTGTAACACTGTACATGCTAAACAATGCTCACATAAGGGAATCTCAAGTGTAACACTGGACATGCTAATGGTTGTTCAGGAAAGATATTCCAAAGTATAACACTGTACATGCTAAACACTGTTCAGGTAAAAAAAAAAAAAAAATCCAAAGTATAACACTGTACATACTGACCAAAGTTCAGGTAAAGGGAATCTCAAGTGTAACACTATACATGCTAACCAATGCCCATGTATGGTAATATCAAGTGTAACACTGTATACGCTTACCAATGTTCATGTAGGGGAATATCAGTGTAACACTGTACATGCCAATGCCCAGGTATGGTAATATCAAGTGCAACACTGTACACGCTTACCAATGTTCATGTAGGGGAATCTCAGTGTAACACTGTACATGCTAAACAATGCTCACATAAGGGACTCTCAAGTGTAACACTGGACATGCTAATCAATGCTCACGTAAGAGAATCTCAAGTATAACACTGTACATGCTATACAAGCTCAGGTAAGGGAACCTCAAGTGTAACACTTTACATGCTATACAATGCTCAAATAAGGGAATCTCGAGTGTAACACTTTACATGCTAACCAATGCTCAGGTATGGGATCTCAAGTGTAACACTGTACAAGCTAACAAATGCTCAATTAAGCAAAGAGCTCAGTAGTGGAGCCCTGTCTAGCATGGTGTACAATGTCTGAAGTTCAACCTCTAGGACCATTAAAAAAAAAAAAAAAAGAGTAAAGAAATCTGAGTTCTCCTAACAAATTAATTATTTCCTCTGAAGACCTAACTTTTCTTTCTTTCCTTCCTCAATCAAAATAAAAGTAAATACAACAAAATGCCCTTTGTATTTGGTCAGTCTTTCTCATACATTAAAGGTAGTATAAGAACCAAAGATGTGTATCACTAGAAAAATCATCGTGAACTT